TAATTTGGGATCTATTCCAGAAAGATGGGAATCACCACAACAGCAGCTTAGCTGTTAATGTAGAAATATCTACTAATATTCATTTAAGGAATAATCCAAGCTTTTGTCTTTCCGTTCAGATCACTTCACGACCCTTGACGCTCACGCTGCCCCCTCCACAGAAAGAAGCGACAGCGCTGAGTGATCACCGTGTTCTCCTCTGAGGGTGGTGGCGGACGGAGAAACATGCAGAAACATGCTCGGAGTACGGATGTTTTTACATGATCCGAACCCGTTTCTGTTTACTGCCAGTCCGATCCCACCGAACACGTCTGATTTAACGAGAGAGAGGTGGTTTTGTGGGTTTTACACACTTCCTGACATCACCCACTAAATTTGGAAGAGATGTATTAAATAACGCAATTTTATCCTGTGCAACAGCTGAGGTAACTTAGGTAATAGTCTGTCTGACTAGAGGCATTTTAAAAATGTGCTCACACATAATTATCTGTTGCTTTGCCAACATGTTCTTTTGAGTTGAGCCCAGTTTGTGTTTACGTGTATTTTATTAGCTTTATTATTTTATTTTATCAGCTCATCTTTTTTCTGTTTTTATTTAAAGGTCAGTTTGGTTTTATGATAAATAATATTATTTCACCATTTTCTAACAAATACCGGCGCAGTTAGTCACCTCCGATCTGTTGCCTTACGTCTCTCTCTCTCCCCCTCCCACAGACCAACAGTGTCACGCAACATCTCTAAACAAGACAGGACAGGTAGACACCCATCCAGGTCAGATCCAACCAGACGTGGGACGGAGGCAGAACGACACACACCTCTCTCTGTCTGCATTAGTTTCTGAAAAGGAGAAGGCACCGAATCTGTAAGTAAGAGCTCATTTCTTCATAGATCACTGATTTATAGACTTTTACAGTTGTGTGTCAGGTGTTTAAAGTTTGCTGTAACTGTACTGAAACATGTACAGGTGAGATTACTCGTATAGAAACTAGTAATCAGCTGGTAAAGGAACAAATAATACATGTTTAGTAGCATCTTTTCTCTTATAAAGAATATTTTTACACAGCATTAACCTGCTCGCTCACCGTCCTTTACTTGGCACTCATCCGTATCTGCTTTGGACGTATACAGAAGTCAAATTACAGGAAAGCAAGCAAATTTAAAATAAATAAGCAAATGACGGTATTCAAATTTCCTGTAGGAGAAACTCGATGACACGGGGGTCAAAGTGATCTTAAACAGTCTAGAGGAGTTCAGTTGAAGAAAACAGGTGATGCTAATTACCAAATCTGTTTTCTAATGGATGCTATCCTCAAAAGTCTAGCACGCCTCCCTCAGGGAGGGTAGCACAGGTTACCAGAAGAGAACCATTACAGATCCTCTAAGGAGGAAGTAGAACTTGAAGTTCCACACATGGAAACGGGCTCCATGGCAACCACAGCCATCCGACAGAACTCCCAACATCCCCAGTTTATGAAACTGGAACGGATCTGTTCAAACAAGCAGAAATCAAATCAAACTTTATTTATATAGCACTTTTCATCCACAGGAAGCAACACAAAGTGCTTAAAGAGCAAGTCACCCCCTACAACAAACTTACTCCACTCCCACTTCCTGTTTGAAAAATGCAACAAATGCTGTTGCCTGGCAGAACGAGAGGGCGGAGCTGCTAACAAAACACACGCACACAGGCTCACAACGGCATTGTGACATCATAATGTACCAGCTAACATCATAGCATGCCTCTTAGCCAATAGCAGTGGCAGATTTAAATTCAAACACAGTGCAGAATTTTTCCCTGACGACACCGCAACACTGACTAAGATGCACTGAAGTGCCAAATTATTGACGACACGTGTCTGCAGCACGATCAGACACTCGTTTATTTAGTTTATCAGCAAAAACAAGTTGATTTGGGGGTGACTTGCTCTTTAACAGAAAAAATGACCCATATAACCCACATTCCCTCCTTTTCCCACACTTAAAACAATTATGACAGTTTCACCCCCCCAATCCACAAACCATTCCCAGGCGCGCACACACACACACACACACACACACACACATACACATATACGCACAGACACACACACACACACACACACACATACACATATACACACAGACACACACTAGTGCGCATAACACATTAAAAGACCACAGTAAACACTAGACTGAGCTCTGATTGGACAGGTAACGAAAGACAATCCATCAAGGGAGCCATCTGCCTCGACAGCAGCACTAAAATAAAGCACAGAAATAAAAGCTAGACGACATCGTTCACAGCTGTTGCGTGTGTTGATGTTCACATGTCTGTAATGTTCCGTCCTACAGGCTGAAGCTTCTCCCCATGTCTCCAAAGGCAGGAACGTGGTTGTTTGTGCTCGCTGTGGCCTGCTCGGTCGTCGGTTAGTAACCATCACATGTAGCCTCCTTCCTACTGCTGTAGAGTGTTATAATGCTGTTATAAATGCTGTTGTGTGTGTTCTGCTCCATAATGCCCCATAGCTACCGTCTGCCCAGCTGAGACTTCAAATGTGATGTCCGTAGATGACGTCGTCTTCATCGGCAAAAAGCTGGTATGAAATTCACGGACCATCATAAGTAATAAACGTAGCTGGCTTCATCAGAGGAATTAAAGCCATCCAACACATTTTAATGAGGATACTTAGTTATAATAAAGAATAGTTTTACACCTCCGCCCTTCAGCCACAGATGTTGCAACACCCGTCTGCTAGAACAACCATTTCACAATGCAGCTCATTTACTTCGGTTGTGGCTCTAAATACCATCTTACTCACGTTTACGTATTTAGTGTGCTGAGATATGAGACGCGTTTTACTATAAATACATAATCAAGATTTTTGTTCCTTTTGTCAGATGATGAAATGCCAGACTAAAGGTGAGAAAATGCTCTACGCCTCTCTTGAATTATTTATTTTTGTGTGAGTGGTTCATACACTGTTCTGTTTAGAAGCTTCATCAATTAAACATTTTTAAAGAGCAAGTCACCCCCCCTACCAGAGTATTACTCCACTCCCGCTTCCTGTTTGAAAAATGCAACAAATGCTGTTGCCTGACAGACCGAGAGGGCGGAGCCGCTAACAAATACACACACACACACAGGCTCACGACAACATTGTGACATCATATGGTACCAGCTAACGTTCTAGGGTACCTCTAGTTTATCAGAAAAAAAAGTTGATTTGGGGGTGACTTGCTCTTTAAATTAATATTAAATATATGACTGTTGGAGATGGTAAATGGGTGAAATCTCTGAGTCGCAACTGAATCACAGCAAGGCGTTGTGGATTATGATGGTTACAGGTTACCCTGCACCTTCAGCAACCCTGATGAGCAGCGTCTTCAACAGCAGGTATTTATAAACTATATATGATTAATTAAATAATATTCTGAGGCAAAAGTGGCTGACATTCGTCCTTCACTAGACTTTTATTTGAGATCAAATGTGAGTCTGGCCCGAGGTCTCAGAGCAAAGCGCTTGTTTTCATCACGTTGGTGTGTTTTGTGTTTCAGTGTCCTGACTGCAGGAGGAAAACCCGCAGACCAGTCCAACAGCCTCCTGTCCACCTTTCTTCCTGTGCTGAATTCCCTCACCGCGGCCACAAGCAAGAACCCGCCTGGCCAAATCCCCGTGGAGGCCTTAGAGAAAATGGTGCGAAGACGTTGACCCGCAGTAAAACACACGTAGTGCTCACGCTGCAGACGAGGGGTGGTTTCACTAAAACAGGATCCAGTAATCCAGGATTACAGCAGGAAGCTAGGCTTGACCAAGCCCTGTTAGAGCATCCTGGATTATTTGGTTTCATAAACTCCACACCAGGCTGAGGCGGAGCTATGAAGACACGCTCCATGTTCACCTGGTCAGGAGGTGCCATGTTTAGAATAAATCTCCATGGTGACGTGTGGATCACCGCTTTTGTGAAATCAAATTAGGGATTGACTAAACCAGGATTACCAGAAAATCCTGGCTTTATCCCCCATCGAGGTTTTATGAAACAGCCACCCAGAACAGAAGTTTCTACATATAATTAGTTTGTGGGTTTATTCCTGAAATGAGTCACCTGACCTGTGAGTTCGTTCTTTTTCTCTGTCTTTCAGAAGAGCAACATGTGGAACTGCAGTTATCTTCCTGCCATGATAAGGACGATAAGGAACTCTTCTGTCAGTAGACTACAGCAAAACCCCATTTAAGCTTTTACTCAGGCTGGTTTAACCCTCTTGTTTCTGCTCCTGCAGGAGCAAGTTAAATGCTACATGGAGGCGTTTGTGGCTCCTCTGTCCTGGGCGACCGCAGCATCACTGAGTACAAGCACCTTCAGCTCAGCCGACTACGACACGCTGCTGTCAGCCGCCAGATCTGTGCTGCTGGACGTTTCCTCTGCAGTGATGAACCTTCCCGCCACCATAGACGGACAAAAGCTGAAACAGATGTGAGCTTGGTTTGTAAAACTGTGTCAACAGCTTCTTATCAACGTTTCTAAAAGCGGTAACTCCTACTGACTCCAGGATGATCACGCTGCGGAGCGTGTACGGCACCCTGAACGAGGACCAGAGGGCCGAGGTGTTGAACTGGGCTAGAGAGCAGATCGTCCAGAACAACTTCAGCTGCACGCTGAAGAAAACACCCAACTCTAAACCAAGTAAGAACCCCGAGTTCATCATGACCTCAGACTAGAGCGGGGCGATGTGGCCTAACATCAATGTCACGGTATATTGAGGATTTCACCTCGATAACCATAAAAGGACGATAACTACAGGTGTGCGCAGAAACAAAAGTGTCCACTAGATGGAGCTGTGTCGTGTATTATGTTGAGTCACATTTTTACGTGACTCCTACCGAGCAGGTGTTCTCCGTTTGTTAGCCGTTTAGCTAGCTGAGCGAGGATACACAGGCGTGTCTTGTAGCCTAGCCTTGGTCAAAAATTACCCACAATACACCGCGGTATTTTTAAAAGGACAACGGATCAGAAGCCGGCAGCTACTTCGGGGTCAGTTTTCAAGTTTAAAAGTAAGTCAACTAGTTTAAAATGTTTTTTTTTATCCAAAGAAGTTATCTATGGTTGGTTAGTTGCAGCTTCGGTGGATAGCGGGTAGTAACTCACTTATGTATTTAATTTAATAAACATATACACAATTTAAAAAGTAAAAGGCTTGTTATATATTTATATTGAAACTTATACGTATAAAATATAACGTTATCTCCCGTGTCGCGTGACGTTACATGACCGCTTTGGAAGCCGCGGTCACGTGATGCAAGTCTGTTGCATTTATATGGCGTCAACTTGTATTAGTGAGTCATATATTGTACAACCACAGTCATAAAGATTTCAATCAGTTGTTTTATTTCAGTATGTATTTTTCCAGTATCACAAAAAATATAATTTTATATGGTTAAAACCATCTAGCTTATGTGCACTTTTTAAAACACTGCCCAGCAAACATTCGGACGTTTAATGACAGTTGAACGGTCACAACTGTAAAATAATATCAGGAATTAGGAAAAAATAGCACAACATCTACTCTATTTGCCTTGCCCGGACTAGAACCTGGATCCTCTGGGGGGAGAGTCACCAGCTCTACCAGCTGAGCTATGACAGCAACTACTGCATCTCAGATTTTTTTATATAGATAGGTAGAGAGTAAAGTGCGGGGTAAACTAACCAATCAGAGGACAGAGAAGATCTGCCACAGGCCACGCCTCCAGAGTGCCAAAACCCCTTCACAGCCGAGCAAGCAGAGTCAGAAACCGAGCGCGCAGAGAGGCTGCCGCGCGCGCACGTTTTCCTTTGCCGTGTGCTCGTTGGCAACGAGCGCATGCAGGTTTGTCACTTGTGCACGTCCTTGTGCGCTCACAGACACAGTTTGCTCCCTCTCAGTGCACAAATGACCTCTCGCCATGTATATTTTCACTCGCGAGTCCCGTTCACACGCGCGATGTGGACCCAATCCGCGTGCATGGGTTGTGGCACGCCTCTGACGCCATACATTTAACTGTTTTCTTTGACCAAGGAAGGACCGTGTCTGAGGCGCCTGGCCTCACGAGACATCGCCTCGCGAGGCCAGGCGCCCGGACACTGAGAAACACCCAAGTTTTTTTTTGTTTGTTTTTTAAGTATTTTTTTTTTATTTGCACAAAATATAATGTACAACAATTATGGCAATCTCTACAAAGAATCTGTTTTACCAACATGAGATAGTACCAGAACAGGCTGAATTCCAACATATAGAAGAAGGATAATGAACAGGAAGTACAAACAACAACAGATAAATAAATAAAATAAAAACAAACCCCAAACAGATCAAATAAGCAAACAAATGAATAAAAAGACAGATAATTTAAAAAAACATTTAAAAAAGTTATACCTTAGGGGCTTTCTAACAGATTTAGTTCAGCAATCATATGATTCAAATCCAGAGCTTGTTTTTTGTCCATAAATTTAACAGATGAGAAAAGGAGGCAGAGTTCTTTGTGAAAAGTAAAAAAGGACGGCTTTGTTTTCAGAAAACCACCCAAGGTGCTACAGCTTCTTAAAGGGACGTGAACGCTGCCAACCTACATCTTTTCATTTTTTTATTATCAAATGTATTGACGTGGGAAAGTTATCCCGATAAGAGTCAGAAATTTCGATAACGATAGATTTTCTATTCATTGCCCAGCCCTAACTCTCAGACTGCTCCGGTCAGCCTCGTTTTACTGATTTAAACCTTCAAGCTTTTAGTCCTCTCTTCTGTTTTAAACAGGAAGAGCAGAAGCAGAAGATGCTGTTTAAAAAGAGATTGAATAACTAAATTATGTATCTTTACCTTTATAAAGCAGAAGCATGGAGGCGAAGTAAACAAAAATACACAGCTGAACTGTTGTTTCATCAGTAATGCAGAGAAACCCTGATGGGCCAGGGTGTGTCCCTGCAGGTTGCTTTGTTGGTGATCCATTTGCAAGTCCCAGCATATTTGCACATCTCCTCTGTGTTTGCATTCGTTTGCTCTTATTTTAAGGCTTTAGCCCGGGAACTCATGCAAATCACAGAGTATGTTTGTTGTCGTGATGTTCCACCAGGTGGGCTGACAGTTGCACTTCTAGGAGCGGTTCAGGACGTGCAACATTATTTTATGATGTCTGATTAATCGTTTCTCCTCTACTCTGTGTGCACGTGCATTGTTTTAAGTCTCTTTCATCACTCAGAACCGTTGGCTTCGTGCAAACCGACTGTGAAATGGCTAGACTCGGATGCTCTGAACATGATCGGGCCGTTTCTCTCCAGTTTACAACCCACTGACGTCGATGCCTCTCCACAGGGAACTGTGAGTTTGTCTGTGCGGGCGTGAAAAACACCTAACCCTGACGGTTCTGCTAACGTTCATTCTCTCGCTCCTCCAGCTGTGTGCCTACTTCACCTCAGGCCAGTTCTCGTCCTCCGTGAGTGGAGTGACCCGAATGAACCCCAGCTTAGCCAAGATGCTTCTGCAGAGCTTCCAGCAATGCTTCAGTCCAAACGAGTTTCAGAAATATCTGGATAAGTGCGTATTCTTACATTCTCACTGTAAAGCTGTTTGGTTCATGAGTGATTACCACCTCGACCTTTGACCCTCCCCAGACTTGGCCCCTTGGCTTGTTACTACAGCGCTTCAAACTTGACCTCTGACCTCAGCAAGAAGCTCCTCTCTCAGCTGACAAGCTGTGACAGCTCCATAACCTCTAAGGTAGCTTTCCCACGTTTACCGAACCGTTTTACGTCCGTGCTCCTCGTCTGGAGGAGAAGACACGATGGTGAATGTCTTCATCTCGCTTGTCTTTTCTGTCCTTTGAAGCTGGAGAAAGCCCTGATCAAAAACGTGTTGTCAGGTCCCATCACCGCTCAAGCTCTGCGTGACCTGGGCCGTAACGTTGCTCTAGTGCCGCCCAAGCAGCTGGCCACTCTCTCCTCAGCTGATGTCAAAGATCTCCTCCAGAACCCGGGCGTTGAATGGTCTCGGAGCCAGATGTTCACTCTGGTTAAGAAACAGCTGGGCGGGAAGAAGGTGAGCCCGTGGAGAAAACAGCCGTTTGATCATTCCTGCTCCGGTCTTCATACTTCTCTCACTCTGGTTCTCCTCAGTGTGGGGAGGTGTTGGGCGCGGACGTGATGGCCCTTCAGTCGGTGGCCGCGGGTCTGCCGAGCTGTGCACTGAAGAAACTCAAAGCTCAAGATGTCCTAGCTAACACAGAGGCTCTGAGGAACATGTCCAAGCAGATGAATAAGGGGCAGCTGAAGGCCGTGCTGGAGGGGGTGAGTAGGAAGGAACCAGCGGATGCATCACGCGCGCCGATCCTTACTGACTTGAATTTGGGAATCTTGTTTTCCTGTAGCTTGGCGGGAACGCCAGCCTCTCAGATCTGATGGAGAAGCTGCCTGGGCCTTTGCTTCGTTGCGTTTCCCTCACCAACCTAAAAAAAGCCAACATCACCTCTTTGGACCAAGTGGAGAATAAAACCTGGAGTGTGTCACAGGTAACGCTCACGAGAACCGTAGCGCAGTCCCAAGCAGCGAGCTTCCGTCTCAGGAACGTTTTCTCTTGTGTGTTTCAGGCAGCTTACCTGGCGAAGAAGATGCGCGAGCTGAACAAGGTTAACTTCAGGTGAGGTGACGTCTGCTTTAGGTCTTCAGATACTTATTTAAACGGTGTGGATCACTGAAAACCCAGTTTTAATGATTATTTCTGATTATAGTCACTCTGAGTCGCTGTCACTTAACATTCATGGACTCACGACGGGGAAGGCTGTTGTTGGGTTAGCATCCAGGAAACAGCAGAGAACGTCTCAGCTAGTAGAAGCTAACCGTTAGCATTAGCAACTCCAACACACAGCAGAACTCCTCCAGGCTCGTGTTATTTGTGGAGATAAAACATCAACGCTGCCGAGCAGTCAGTCGTGTTGCTGTTAGCCAATCAGAGGAGAGATGCTGTGATGTGGCTCCCTTCTAGTTCCTGTAAACTCACCAGTATTATACTCATGAGTAAAAATGACATTTTGTAATGTAACTTGTAATAACGGTCAAATCAAATCAAAATCAAAGCTTTATTTATAAAGCGCCTTCCACAACCCTGTCAGGAAGCCCAAGGCGCTGAACATGGAACAGTACAAAGTTAAATAAAGTGAATAAATCAGAAAATAAAAGCAATTCAAATTACAAATTACAAAAAAAGGTGAAACATTCTGGTACAGGACAAATGTGTAAAACAAGGGAAAAAGTGAACCAATGAAAACTGTGAGATAAAATCAACATAAAAGAGGGCCAAAATCAAACATGTTCAGGAAACGCCAAGCGGAGGAGGTGGGTTTTTAGGCGACTCTTGAAGACTGGCAGAGATGGGGACAGCCTAACTGAGGGTGGCAACTGGTTCCAGAGTGACGGTGCCATAACGGCGGATACTTTGATGAACTTTTATGACCTTGAATACAAAAACAAACTCATTTCTGTCTTTTTGTGCGATAAAACACGACCGTGTTGGCTCCTGGCTTGTGTTTGCTGTTGAGCGATGTTTCGTTGCTGCTGTGCTGTGAGACAGGAGGCTGAAGTCGGTCCTGCAGGGCGTCACCTGTAAGATGATCGCAGAAGTTAACGACAGCCAGCTGCTGGAGACGGTTCAGGCCTTGGCAGAAGCGCCGCAGTGGCTCTCCAAAACTCAAGTAGGTGTTTACTGAACAAAACACACATGCGTAGACGCGCTGGTTATCACGACCGTGTGTGTGTGTGTGTGTTTCAGGTGAGATGTGCTGCAGGAAGACTTTTTAAGAGTTTGGAGCAGAAGAGAAGCGACTACTTCAGAAACATCACCGAGCAGGAGCTGGCTGCCATTCCTAACTTGCTCCTACTTTATATGACGTAAGAACACCAAACACGTTCTCTCCTCACACCGAGTTTTAACGTCACAGCGTGTTTTTGCTCGTTTTGTTCCTCCCAGGCCTGAAAAGGTGAAGGACCTACCCGACTCCGTGTGCCAGGCGTTCCTCGACAAGATGGCGGCGGCTGACCTGAACTCGCTGCCTCTGAACGCGCCGTCTCGTCTAGCGCTCACACAGAGAGCTCTGCTCTGCCTGACGATCGTACGCTCACACACGACCATCGCCCTCAGCGAACACACACACACGCGTGTGGTTCTAGGACTGTTTCAGCTCATCCGCGTGATGCTGCTACGTGTTGCAGGACTGTAAAACGACCCTTCTGTGAACTTTCAGGGGAAGAATCTGTCTGAATTGACCAAAGCGGACGTGTTGAGGCTTGGACCAATCCTGTGTGAGACGCCGCCCTCCAGACTTGCCCTGATGGCTCCTGATGTGATCCAGTTCAGCCTCCAGGCCATGGCCTCCTGCCAGAGCATCCCCCAGCTCCACAGGCCCGACCTGGTCCGACTGGTCACCCAGACGTTCGGGTAGGTCGTACTTCTGCTGGAGCTGCTTCTGGGGAACGAGAGTCTGATGCCTTTATCTCCTGCAGGAGTCCATCCAACTGGACAGCTGCGCTGGTGGAATCAGTCGGTCCCCTCATCCTCTTGGATGATAACGCCACGTCTGCTCTGCCCAATGCCGTGTGTGACCCTCCTTACCTGCTGCATGTTACGTCAAACCAACACCAATTTCTGTCCTAAGTGTATTTTATCCTCTCTGTCTCCTTTAGCCTTGGATGAAGGATAGTCTCGCGTTCCTTAAGTTAAACCTCATCCGCATGTCAGATGCTTTCAGAAAGAAGTACTTTGAAGTTGCCACTGCCGCTGCATCAAGTTCAGCACGCAGGAGGAGAGCAGGTGAGGGAAAACGCCGTCAGCTGTTCACGTCCTCTGCTCGCTTCATTAACAGTGACCGTTTTCCTCCTTCCGCCTGCGCTCCTCAGCCAACAGCACGACTGCACCCTCCGCGGCTCTGATTGAAGAACTGGGACTGGACAACGTCCTCTGGACAGCGTCCCAGCTGGACGGGATGTCAGACGGCACCTTCCTGGCTGCTGTAGACACACTCGGGTCGGTTCCTGGGTACAGCCCGGACCAGCTGGTCGTGCTCAGTAAAAAGGCAGTCCAGGTGAAACGGATCCCAGATCTAGACCCACGTTTTACCTCCATCTCTTGTTGTGGTTAAACCCCTTTACCTGTTTGTGTTTATTTGTTTACCTCCATTTAACTCTTCATTTGCTCCCGCAGGTGTTTGGCCCCGTGTCGCAGATGAACGAGAGCGCCGTCGTGCAGCTGAGGTGCATCGCTCAGGGCTTCTCCAACGCGGACCTGGCTGGGCTTCCGCTGCCCCTCGACAGTCTGGATGAAGTCGCTCTCTGCGGCTGGAAGGACTCGCAGGTCATTTACAGACAAACCGTTTCACGCGACCGTAGCGAGCCCGCAGGCCATAACCCCGATGCCGCTTGTGTCTGATTAGATACCGTCGGTGTGGAGGGCTGTTGCTAAGTACAACAACCTGACAGCGTCGCTGCTGGACTCCACAGCGATGGTCACTCTGAACCGGTTCTTCTGCGGTCTGAGCTCCGGCGAGATCAGTCAGCTCAGCGTGAACGCCTTCAGGTTTGTGCAACAAACACTTTTCATTTCACTCCATTGCTCCCATTTCTACTGAAGTCTCCATGTGAGCTTATTTTTGCCGCTAGTCCTATGAATGACTCAGTGATCAGTGGAGAGTTTGTCGAGCTGAGACGATACAGGTCAGATGTTACTGAAGGTGGCCGACCAACACTCACACACTGGACTCGTGTGTTTGTGTCACAGGGAAGCGGTGGGGTCGATGGATAATCTCCCGTGTCCGCTGGACGTGCTACAACAACTCAAACAGCTGGCCGTGTCTTCGTTTGGAAGTCCCGACACCTGGACCGAAGCTCTGGTGTCCGACTTGAGAAACATCACCGGTGAGATCAGTTCACCGGTCTGAGTTGTGTGAAGCGACCTTCCTGATGCTAAGCAGCAGTCTGTCTCCACAGCTGGGCTGAATGCAAATGAAGCGGCTTCTCTGGACCCGTCGGTCTTCTCGTTCCTCAACCAAGCTTCTATTCCACTTTTTCCTCCTCAGGTCTTTGCTGTGAGTTGCTTTTTTCTCCGCCCTCGTCAGATTTAAGCTTGAACACTGTGCGACTTTTTCACTCGTAGCGCTCAGCTTCAGCTCAAACTGTACGACTTCCTCGCAGGACCGATCTCACGAGTCAGGCGCTCACACTGTACGTCTGGTAGCAACACGTCGGCCCTAAAAATGTGCTAAAAATAGCAGTTTTTACTCAACACGTCAGACTTTTTTGTCTTGTTTTGCCTGTTGTCCTTCGGGAGTGCTGCAGGAGGACACACAGGGGTTTATGGGGTTGGATGAGGAAAACGAAATAAAGAAAGTAAATCTGTGTTTTGTGATCAGTTTAATTTGACATGAACACGACAAACACGCTTTCTTGATTATCTTTGTGAGTAAAAAACCGTGTAGAAACAAAAACGAACAGCGTGTGTTATTAGGGAAATAGCGGGCGAGCGGTGTTGATGCAGGATTGCGCATGCGCCGTGAGCGGTTCTGATACTTTTTGGGTCGCAGCTGCTCGCGGCGCCGCTTCAACAGTGCAATACCCTCACGAGGGACGAGCAACATTATCAAACACGCCAGAAGTCCGTGCGAGCTCACGACTGCTGATCGGCAGCTGGTCACGTGGTGTTAAATGCCTCTCGTAACCCCCTGTACACTACACGACCGCTCGGCGCAAAACTCGCCCCGATCTCGTGGAAAATCGGCTTAAAAAAGTGAAAAAGTCGCACAGTGTCCACCCGGCTTTAGTGTACTTTAATCTAGTCACGTCTTTACCTTCACCCCCCCCCACCAGGCCCTCTCTCCTGCCCAACTGGAGAATCTCGGTCCTGACAACGCCGCCATGGTGACCAGCGGACAGCGAGCAGCTCTAACACCTGAGCAGCTCAGGGTCGTTAACAGGTTGGCGACTGGTTCTGCTGACTCACAGGCTCCTCCTCAGTCCTCAGGTAGATTTGTTCTTCTAACAACAGGATCTGAGCGGTTTATGGTCTGTAAAGGCGTTCGTTTCATCACACGTCTGGTTTGTGTGCAGCAGCTCCAGCTCTGAGGGTGGAGGCGGTCTTCTCTGCTCTGTTCCTGCTCATCGGGCTGCTTCTGCTGTGAGGACAGAGCCGACGTCCTGAAGGAGCGTTCGCCTCAGAAAATCACACACACACACACACACACACACTTCAGGGTAACATTCTGAATGTTCATTTTTCCAGCTGCGTGTTGATAAGAGTATTTTAAGGGTGATAAATGAGTTTGATGCTTTGTGTGAATATAATATATGTGATAAGATAAATGGGGACAAACTGATTTAACTCAATAAAGATGATAAAAATCACCAAAGTCTGTTTGATTAAACATAATAAACGACTTTAATGTTTTAAAAGGATCCAGATCTCTCGTAGAAAGAGCCGACATCATAAACCATCTTTTGTTTACAGTAATCTGATTACATCTCTCGCCCGGTGATGAAAACTGGTGTGAGCAGAGTCCATTTTTTAAGTGTTAATTTCCATTCATTTGAAGGTTTCGTCCTAATAAATATATAGTGTGTATCTACACATCACATTATTGCTGATTTTCCTGCTCTCCAGAAGGTCGTTGGTCCACGCACGCGCTCGCCGTGGCAACCGCCCGAAGAATAAATTCACATTTTTTACGTCCGTGAAGCAAACACAGCATCCGTGATTCTTGATCCGCGCTGAAAACACGACTAGGAAACGTTTTACGGCGTCGCGATCGTCAGTGACGGGAGACAAGTGGTGATAAAGTAAATTATAACAGTCGCTAAATTAGACATTCTGTTAGGAACCGAAGCAACAAGCTGCCGAGTTTAAGACCGATTTAAGAGACTTTACAGCTCGAGTTTCTGTTCAGAGATCTGCTCAGTGGTCCAAAAGGATCAACCGTTAGCATAATCTCAGCGGGATTAGATTAATGCAAGGATCACGGTTCCCTGCAGGCACGTGAGAACGGCGGGACTGAGCGGAGAAATCCTGAGAATCAGAGGTGTGAAGATGAACGGCTTTACTGAGTAGTTGGTGACAAACCGAGTATCTTTGGTTGTTTGGTGCGTAGAAGCGGCACTTAGACGGGTTTTCCTGCGTTCCTGGCGTTAATAAAGGCCATGCCATGAGTTCTGAAGTGTGTGTTCAGGTCTGTGGCCTTTTCAAAGTGTTTGCCGCACACCTTACAGGCCAGCGCCGCCTCGTCGTCCTTCCCCTGGCCGGCAGACGGCTGACCGGAGGGAGACGCCGGCTCAGATCCGTTCCAACTGCCCTTCTCGTCGTGGTTCTTGACAGAAGAGGCGGGTGGCTGCGCGCTGGGCGCTTGCTGGCTGTCGCTGAAAGCATCCCGGACCTTGTGGGTGATGAAACGATGGCGGGACAAGGAGGATGTGGACGTGAAGCAGGCGCCGCACTGCAGACACTGCAGCTCGCCGCCCTCCGCCCCGCCCCGCCTGTGTTGGCCGATGTGCTCCAGGAACGTTGCCCTGTCCTCCGCGGTGAAGCCGCAACAAGCGCAGCTAAAGCCGGACTCCGGCTGGACGTAAGGAGCAGAAGAGGAGGAGGATCGTAGCTTCTTCGCCGGACTCGTCTTGTCTGCGGGCTCCACGTCCTGCTCCACCTTCACGGCTGCCCGACGCCTCCGGCGACTCACCGAACCGGCCTCCTGCTCTGAAGAGCTTCCAGCCTCGTCGGCTCTCTGCGTGGAAAACAAACGGTTTTAGGTTGATGCGTGGGATCTCCCTCTTCCACTTGGTGTCAGAAACCCAGGAGCTCACCGTCAGAGCGTCCTGGCCCGCGCCGTGCCTCAGCTGGAAGTGCCTCTCCAGCATCGCTCTGCTGCTGAAGGTCTTCTTACTGTCAGAACAAAATCTACAAAACACAACTTGGATTCAACTCTTCACTGAGTGACGAGGCAACATTTGGAGAGTTCGCCGGAGCCTCGTGGACAACAGGGCCCCGTACGCGCGGAGGATCCACGACACTTACTGGCAGCGAAAGCCCCGGCTCGCGATTTTGTGCTTGTCTCTGATGTGGCGCCTCATGCTGGAGGTGGTGGTGAACGAGCTCTCGCATCTGTTACAGGGAAACTTCTTCAAAACCTGAGGAATTCGAACATAAACACGAACGGATTACATCCGAGAGGAAAGACGAGCCCGACGGCTGCAGGCGGTGCCCGGACCTTGCCGTGCTGCTGGCTCATGTGAGCGACGTAGTCCTCCTGTTCTGAATACTGAGTGCTGCAAGCTCGACACTTCCACCCCGAAGCGGCCTTCGTCCTCTCGGTCTTCACTTTCTCTTTTTCCACCCACTCTTCCTCTGAGCTCTCCAGTTTCACCGACGCGGCCGGAGCTGCGGGTGACGGCAGCTCCTCTTTTACAGGGCGACTCTTGTGGGTCTGAGGAGCGGAAGGAGTGGAGGTGTAAGCTCAGATATAATCCATTCATCCCAACACTTAAGCTCATGGGTACCTTAAAATGATCCAGCAGGGAGCTCCTCTGCGAGAACAGCTTGGTGCACTCAGGACACTTGAACACGTGAACCTTCTGATTGGTCAAATGAGTGTCGAAATGGGAGTAGAGCAGCGGCTTGTGCGTGAAAACCGTGTCACACATGACGCATTTATAAATCAACCTGTGAGAGACGAACGTTAGGACATCAGTGTGTGTGTGTGTGTGTGTTTTGTACATATACATACATAGCCTGTCCATGCGTCAGTGCTGGATGTTGAGCGGAGATGTGGCTCTGAATGCTGGGGGCAGATTTGAAGGCCATGGGGCAGCTGGGGCACTTGTGAAACATGTCGCAGTGAGCCTGCTGGATGTGAGCCTTCACCGAGTTCAGCCCTCCAAACACGACGAGGCAGCTGGAACATCTGCAGACAGAAAAGTGAAGGGTCCGAGCCGCCGGCCGGCGTACGTTTATTCACTCGCGTGACCAGGTTTCCTACCTGTACCCGATGCGGCGGGAAAAGTGCAAACAGGTCTCATGCAGATGCTTCTGAAACAGCTGCTGCTTGGTTGAGGCTCCACACTCTGGACAGATGTGGGGCGGGCAGCCTTGGTGGATGCGCTGGTGTGCAGCTGTGCTGCAGCTGTTGGGGAGGAGCATGGGGGGCGAGCACTCTGAGCATGACTAAACAACAGAGGTGCAAACACAACGGTGGGAATCAGGTTAGAGCTCAGTCATCAGTATTCACACTTCCTTTATGGATTACCACACCTTAAAGGTGTGGATTACTCGTGTAACCTGTGCATCTGTAGTGGTCTCTAGAGGGAATGAATGCCTTGCAGGCAGAACTCAGGGCACTAAGAAGCCCACAAACCCCCGTCTCTGCAGACCAAATCAGCGACATCACAGCTGAGCTTCCTTCCTGATATTCTGACATCTCTCCTCTGATTGGCTAACAGCAACACAACTCTACCACTGACTCTGTCTGCTCTGCAACGTTGATGTTTTATGTCCACAAATACCAAAAGCCTGGAGGAGTTCTGCTGTGTGGTGGAGTTTCTAATGCTAACAGTTAGCTTCTACTAGCTGAGACCTTCTCTGCTGTTTCCTGGACGCTAAACCAGCAACAGCCTTCCCTGTCGTGAGTCCAGATGGGTGAGTCCATGAATGTTAGTGACAGTGTGACGTAGATCTGTCAGGATTTTCTAATCCTAGAGTTTCACCGTCTGTTTTCTATCAGAAGCTACTGCAGGAGATAGGTGTAGGAGACTATTCTCATGTTCAGCCTGCATGGAGAGTGACCCGTTAGAATCAGAAATAGTCATTAAAACAGGGGTTCTCTGTGTTCCACACCTTTAATGACCTGTCTGGGATATTTGTGGTTAGCCGTGTGTGAAACAAAAACAAAACGGTCCAGAGCAGAGGGGAGAACTTACAGTACTGTGGGCGGGTTTGACTACTTGGAAATGGTCGTAAAGCTCGTCTTTGCTCCCAAACTGAGCCTGACACTCGGGACATTTATTGCTGCCGTGCTGAGTGGCCTCCGCCTCCCTGTCGGGCCCTGCAGCATGACGCGCCGGAGGCGACGGCTTTAAACCGGGCTGGCCTGCCGTGGAGGACAGAAAGCAAATCAGAGATAAATTAAGACTATTCACGTCAAAAAACGCCGACCATCGAGGATTCCCTCACCTGCAGCCGCTGCTTCCTGTTGACCGATCATCTGATCCACGGGTACGGGTTTCATCACCAGGTGGGAACACTGCATGATCAGACCCTTCTCTTTGTGCTCCCTGGCGTGTAAAAGCAAGCTGCATTTGTTGAAGAAGGCCAGCCGCTTGGCGCAGTGGTTGCAAGTCACCTCGATCCTCAGCGAGCGCCGATCGTAGTGCTGGGCCAGACTCTGCTCCAGGGCAAAGGCATCGCCGCACTCTAGACAGCGGTAACCCTGAAGGGGAAGTCAGAAACACAGGGATGGAAATGGGCGGATGCAGATGTGTTCTCCTTCCCTGCTAGATGTACGCTCTCGATGCTGACACAACGAAAACTGACCTGTGCAGGGAGAGAAATGCCCCACTCTGACGGGAGAGGAGAGCTCAGATCCGGTTTATAACAAGGCAGCAGGTTCTTGTTGTTGAGGATTTTGTTGAAGGCTTCCACCAGGTTGGTCTGACTCTTTGAAATGATGGCCCCGGTGCTGTTGACTATCGATGCTGGCCTGTTGCTGCTCTGCTGATGGAGCTGAGACAAGGGGGCCACCCCGTTGTTGAGCGTTTTCTGCCCGAGGCTGCGGAGGTTTGCTACAGCTGAACCGGCCTTGGCGGCGGAGACGGAGGGCAGTGCTGCGGTTTTTGTGATGCTCACGGCTGTAGGAGACACTTTAGAGCATTTCTCTTTGCCTGTACGGGCACCTTCTTGTGCCGCTGCTGCAGGTAAAAGCTCCTTTTTGGACTTAATGTTCTGAGATTCTGAAGGTTTTGAACTCTCTGCTTCCTTTGAAGCGGCCTTCCCACTCCTCTTTGGCGCCAGACCAGGCACCGTCCTCGTGATGCTGCCTGTGGGCATTTTGATTTTAACTTTGAGCGGTCTTGGAGGAGATGAGACCGTCTCTGCGATGCTAGGAGCCACTGTGTCCTCTCTGTCAGCAACACTGTTCTCCTCCTTTGAGTTTTCTTTATTTTCCGTCACTTTTTCACCTGGACTTTCAGAGTCCTCCAACTTCTCTTGGCCGTGATCTCTTTGAACGAGATCCTCTCGGTGATTTTGTTCCTCCTGATTCAAAGTGAGGCCTGAATCCGTGTCATGGCTGCCGTTTCTGTTGGTAAACAGAAGGCCGGTCTCACTGGGAGGTGGGCTCTCAGGCGAGTCTCTCTCATCAATCACGTGTTCTGGGTACTTCTCCTTTTGGACTGCTGAGCTCGTGCGGACATTGGAAGGCAGGTCATGGAGGTTCTGAGACTGTGGACCGGTGACAGGAGAGCTGATGATGGTGGCACGAGGTTCGTCATCCTCATTTTGGCCTTTATTTGGTGATGAGAGATCAGGAGGGTGTGAAGCAACACCAGGAGTGTTTTCATGAGACTCCATTTGATCAAAATCAAAATTTCCTTTGCGTTTGAGTTTAGGAAAAGAGGACATCATGGAATCTGGGCTCTCCTGGATCACTAGTGGACTCCCTAAATCTGGCTCTGAGTCATCTTCATCTGTATATGTTGTGTGCTTGACTTCAGGTCCTAGATCCGTATTTTGTGGTAAAGAGGAGGCTAACGGATCACAAGGATACATTTCACCACGTTGAGGTGAGTGGGGGGAAAGTTGAGGGATTGCTGAGGGAGAAGAGGAAGGAGATGGCAAGGTGGTACCAGCAATGGATGAGGCCTTTGGGTACAAAAGAGGCTTTAAACTGTTCACAATGGACTCAGACCCAGGCTTGGCTCCTTTGTCGCTCTCTTCATCACTTGGTGTGGACCTAAAAGACAAAGGCTGGGACCAGGACTGTGCGTCAGACTGTCCCTCCTCAAAGCCATTCGCAATCTGAGCCTCCACAGCAGCACCGACAGACAGTTTGGCATCGAGATCCGAGGTGAAGTCCTCCAATTTTCCCGAAACCTGCGAGACTAAGGCACCACTTGTGGGGTCGTCAGAGCTACTCCTGGCAGGTTTGTCTTCACTCTCCAGGGACTCTTGTCTGACCGTGTTCTTCACGATGACGCTGACCACAGAAGGCTCCCCTTGAGGGGCTGCGGAGTCAGGGAAGCATGCAGAAGCTCTACTCTTGTTCTCATGGTGTCCATCAGCAGCCTGCTCGTCCCGGTGTGCCTCCGGGTTGGACTGAATGGCTTCTTTAGCATCGATATCAGGAATGTCAAAGGCTGCCAACAAGTCATCAAAATCTGGCGTCTTCATGTCCCCCATCGCCAGCGGAAGACTCCGAACCTGTTGAGACAACGGACTAGTCACCCATATAGACATCAGTTACGACTGCGCCGCAAGACGGTTCGAGCGTGCGTACAACCGAACAGCTGGTACCATGTGGCTCGGAGAATCAAAACTTTGGAAAAACAAGCTGCAGGTTCTGATTTACACGAACTCACCAAGTGCAAAACAAACAGGAACGACTGGGAGTTCAGAGAAATGTCAAACTCTCCTGTCACGCTGCAACAAGTGGCTGCTAACGCTAACAGCTAGCTTAGTTAGCGATTAGCTGCTAGCTGGCCTAGCTAACGTCAACGAACTGTACTATGAAAAGGCGACGAAAACACGTCATTTGCTACGTGAAACAATTAGATATTGGCAGCTAATATCTGACGCAGAGTGCGTCAAACTGCGTTTGCACGAACCGCATCTGAGAGTTTAGCTGTAGTTACCTGACGGTTAGCGAAATCGGTTCCTGACTTTCCTGGTCGCCTAAGTTTTCTGTCAACAACTTTGCGACGGAGGGACAGCGTCCGTGTCCTCACGCGCTCCCTCAACCGGATTCTGAGCTCAGTTTACTTCTGAGTACTTTTGTTTATCCTCATTATCAATATCTGTATATCTATATATATTTAATTACTTTTGATAATTGGATGTTTGTGTTTATTACTATAAATGTGTGATATAAATATAAATGTGATATATATCACACATTTATTTATAGTAATAAACACAAACATCCAATTATCAAAAGTAATGAAAATATGTTAAAATAAGATTTTTTCTTTTATAATTATTAAAATGTCAGTCTTTTGTATTTCTACTAACAGGTCTGCACTCGGTTTAAACTGCACCTGGTTTTACAAGATATTAGATTTTGTTCAGTCGACTAAACTAACAGAAGTACCACGGATACAAAAATGTAAAAATATCCAAATTTATCTGAGTTTTGATCAAATGTTAGATTAATACAATTTTTAGATGATTTTCTACTTTTTAACTCGTTTTCAAACAAAACTTTTCCAGAAGCTCCGTTTTCTACTGAATAAAGTACTCGCTTTATTGTTGTGTAAATTTATTGAAGACATGTTACTGAAGGTATATTACAAAAAAAACGTTAAGCACTCGTGTTTGTGTTAGGATCAGAACAGAGTTTACAGACATGAACAAAACGAGCCATTTCTCAAGAGAAAAGCATTCATATTCCCACATCTCCCATTTATTACGCAGCTCTTCCATCCAAGTGTTCATTTCTTTTTCTCCTCGTCCTTCTTGGTTTCAGGCTTAGAGCCAGTCTGTGAAGCCAAAGAGCCCATGGCGTTACGGATCGCCTCATTGTTGGGGTCGACCCCTGGGAGGTTTTCTAAAACACTCTGAAGGAACTCTGGATCCTGCATTACATCATAGTCTTCTTCGTCCTGGAGACACAAGAACAAAAATGTTGTTTATATTCCGACAACATTTTTAACAGGAAAACAACCAGTGCTGACCTTAGCCTCAGTGGAGTCCACATCTCCGCCTGTATCCATGTCCTCTGCAGCGAAGTCTGCAGGACAAATTTGGACAAAATACAAATAAATAAAATAACTCGTGTGCGTTGACTGCGGTTCTCTAGAAAAACAGACGTTTTTAACCTGCTCCTGCTCCCTGCATGGACATCTGCAGAGCGTAGGCAATCTGCTCGTCCTCCGTCATGCGGCTGAAGTCAGGCAGAGCCGGTGTGGTGGAGCCCGTGTGTGGAACAGACACCTTCAGCAGGGCGTCGTCGGACTCTGAAGCAGGGAGAAAAATATGCAGCGTTGGCACGCTCACGTTCCCACGTCAGACCAAGGCAGGAAGCGTAACTCCAGCCTGTGTTTGTAGGTTTCTCACCGTCTGCTACAGGGGAGGAAATGTTGGCCTCAGCAGCTGACGCAACAGCAGCTCTGCGGGCTTCGTCCTCCTGTCGTTGCCTCTGCTCCTCCATGGACACACGAAGAGCCTGGAAGAAAAAAACGAAAACGTTTCCAAGACTCGATCCTAAAAAACGTTTGGGAAATGACAAAAAAACGGATGAGTCTATGGACGTGTCTCCGTTTACCAGTGCCAGCTCTGGATCCGCACTGGGATCCACCCCAAACTCAAAGTCACTGGCGCCCAGACCCAACACGGCCCCCCCTTCGCCGGCCAGGATGGGCGAGGACAGCAGGGCGTCAGCCAGGCTGGGTCCAGGAGGTACGGTGACCAGGTGGGAGCCCGCTCCCTCTTTCCCATTCAGAGTGTTGATGAAGGCGGTCAGCTTCTCTGTGTTCCTCTCCTGCAGCAGATGGAAACGATAGGATCAGGCAACTAAAAGACTCGGTGTGGGAAACACTCGAGATGCTGCTAAATTACCTCCTCGCCAAAGTTAATGATATCCACGTTGACTTTTTCTTTCTTCAGACGCTTTGCCATTTTGACCAACTGCAAGAAAATAAGTATTTAACGTCAGCAGAAACGGTTTATTGAGAAGTTGATGACTCCTCCTCTTAAACAGCATCCGTTTAAAACCACCATCAGCGAGGACATCAGACGAAACCCGATTCACACCTTCTACATCTAGCCCAGTTGTTCCTCAACGGTTTTCACAGGAATAAAACGGTACAAACATTAGGAAGTTTTGTGGAAAGGTTTAAAATAAATATTGTTGCAGAACATCCTCAGTTTGGAGAAACAGAGATTAGTGCCTAGTAGGGCTGCAACTAACAACTATTTTAATTCAAAAATACTTTATTAATCCCAGAGGGAAACTGATTGCTGTAGTAGCTCAGAATAATAATAATAATCAAGTCATCAAAGAGGTGTTGTATATTACAATGGCTGTTGGCAGGAAGGATCTCCAGTAGCGGTCAGTGTTGCAGCCAAACTGAAGAAGCCTCTGACTGAAGACACTCTTCCGTTGTCGGACAGTCTTGTGAAGAGAACGCTCAGGGTTGTCCATCATGTTCTTGATTCTCTGGAGAATCCTTCTTTGCATTATCTCCTCCAGCGGTTCAGAAACTGACGATACTCTGGCTGAGTCCTTGAAAGGGCTTGGAGTTCCTCCATCTTGTTGGCCAGTGATCTCACGTCGCCCGTTATGATCGATGGAAGAGATGGTTTGAATTTCCTCTTTCTCTGTCTCCGTCCCGCTCTGCACCCACGCTTCTAGCGTTTTAGCTCATTTGGGATTTGTGGCTTCAGTTGAGGTATTATTTCAGCCTTTCCAATGTTAAAGAGCAAGTCACCCCCAAATCACATTTTTTTTGCTGATAAACTAAATTAAGGAGTGTCTAATCATGCTACAGACACGTGTAGTCAATTATTTGGCAGTTCAGCGCACCTTGGTTAAAATTCAAATATTCTGCCTAAAACTGTCAGTGTTGCGCCGTCGTCAGGAAAAAATTCTGCACTGTATTTGAATTTAAATCTGCTACCGCTATTGGCTAAGAGGTATGCTATGATGTCATCTGGTATATTATGATGTCATAATTCCATTGTGAGCCTGTGTGTGTGTGTGTATTTGTTAGCGGCTCCGCCCTCTCGGTCTGCCAAGCAACAGCATTTGTTGCATTTTTCAAACATGAAGTGGGAGTGAAGTAAGTTTCTTGTAGGGGGTGACTTGCAGCTGCTCCCGATTGTAAACCAGCTTGTTGCCATGGTTACGCATCATAACAAATGCTCAAAAAGTGAAAAAAGGTAAAAAAATAGCAGTAAAAATCCTCCAAGCGTCACAGCACCAGAAACAGAAAAGTAAAGTGTCCAAAAAATACAGTTTTTCTTGAGAAACTAGAAGAAAAAATGTCCAAGAAAAGGCAAAACTTACATAAAGTCAACAGAGCTACTCCAACATGCAGCCGCCCAGAGCAGCGCAGTTCCGGAAAATAGTCGACTAGTCGACTATACGCGAGGACTGCTTTGCAAATAACGCAGGTCATCTTTTTATTCGCTGAATCCCGGCTAGAACGCTCCCAAACTTTAGATGTTTTGGTACGCGTAGCTGCTGTGTCGGACGCCGCAATTTCTGTTAGTTGAAGCTCAGCAGAGAAGCTATTGCACATGTGCGACTCTCGGCAGAGATTGTAATGAAGTGGGATGCCTCACTCGGTCAGAAAAAACACGTCCGGCGACAACGTCGACGAATCGTTGCAGCCCTAATGGCTAGTCTGAGAGGGGCCAAAACTAAAGCGGGTTATATCATCATGAACACCGTTCTAAAGATTTACATGGCTGTAAAATTTGAATAGCATTGCTATTCTGGCAGAATATTATGGGATTCCTGTAATAAGTGCCCCAGTCTTCTAGCCTGGTCTGACAGACTCGTCCTCAGAGAACTAGTCTGGTTCCTCACATGCAGAAAGGCACACGAGGGGCGGGACTAGCCAGCTCAAAAATAACCAATCAGAAAAAAGGTGGAAAAGCCGACTGTACCGCTTGATGCTGCAGCCAAATAAGGCTTTTAGCGCTTCTGCTTGGTGTGGTTTTAAAGACACGTTCAAGTCATTTAGAACAGAAAAGAGCTGCAGCGACCTCCGCTTCAGACGCCGTGTTTATGATAAACTCAGCGTTGCGGTGTGTACGTGTGACATACGCTGCTCAGCGCTGATTGGCTCAGTTAGAATTCTCAGGGGTGGGGTTATGTCAGGCTACCAGCCTTCACAGGAAGTGCTAAAGCTAGCTGATGTTGCTACTCGTGCTAACAGATAACTACAGAACTGCGTGTAAATAACTGTAAAATAGAACATTTGCAGCGATTAGAAGGGTTAGAAAATAGCACCAACATTACTTTTTTGGATTATTGAGTCAGAATTGTTTTAAGATGGCAGTGATTCGGTTCTGATCAGTCTGGCTGGAATTAAACAACTTCTCCACACTGAGGTTGCTCAAAAGGCGGTCCATAAAAGGGTAAAAACTAAAAACAGTAACAACAAAAATAATAATGGCTCTTAATATTTTATTTTATTTACTTTTAGCCAATTTACAATAAAAGAAATAACCAATTTGATGGAACTGAGGTATTTATGTCTGAACTTGACTCACTTCTTTTTCGTTGTCCTCCACCGGGCTGCCAACAAACGCAATAATGCGCATCTTGTGGTTTTTGCCCTGCCGGTGCTTCAGCGCCAACTAGCGAGGGATATGTTGTGTGTAGAAAACATAAAATCCAAGAAACATCAGTTACAGAATCTCTTCACATGAAACTTTTTTAAAGTCTGTTAGAAAAGCTGAAACAGAAAGATAGTTGCAGTATAACAGCGGGTTAAATAAGGCTTATGAAGACTGTTTAAACATAAGGTTTTGACTTTTTCTGAGTGTGTTATCAAATTTACCAATTCAGAAACCAAAGGCTAGAGCAAAAGTCTTAAACACCCCCTGATAACTATTTATTTTCAACATTTCTCCTCGAGGGAACACTAAAAGCAGACGCACATGTGCCACCCTGATGCCGGTGCAGAAACAGATGTTTCCCCGAGGCTGCACAGCGTGCAGCTTGGACAGTATCCTCCCCGTGTCTGGAGTCAGTGTGGTCAGCACCTCACAGTTGCTGCATGTGAACAAAACAGCAACATAGTTTTATAATGTTTTAAGGGTCAGAGCACAGATGAGAGAAACAGGATGTCTCCTACTTTGCCATGGTGATGAGGCCCACATTGTTTTCTGGGTTACTGCGAGTCTTGGAGTGACAAACAATATTAACCGCATCCTGCTGAGCCTGCAATCTGGTGGGTAGGAAATCTCCATTCCTCATAAACTCGCTGTTGTCCACACTGAGCAAAATAAAACAAAAATGAGACAAACACCAGATTACAGGTGGAAATGTATGTAATGTACATACGTGAGACAAAGATGTTTAGCAAGACATAAAGCAACTAAGACCACAAAAATGTGTTCACACTAAAAAAAATGGAACAAGTATCCAAAAATAATCCCCTGTTTGTTCATGATGGTAGAGAAACCAGTTTAGATCAGATGATGCCCAGCTGAGCCAAATCACAATGTTTGATACAGGATGTCTTCTCTTATTGTTTACAAACATCTCCTCTGTTTGCGAGGTTTACAATGAAGTCAGGAACATGAAGCCACGCCGCCAACACTTTGCTGAGAGAGCACAAAGATGCCAGATCCTCTAAAATAGGAGCTCAGTGATCCTGGACTGTCTCTTTTCACCAATGACAACACTACGATAGAAAAGGGTTGATCACTATCAACACACTACGCAGCGAACCTATTATCACCATTACATTAAGCTGACTTCAACATTTTATTAAAACATTTGATAGGGATGTAGGTGCAGCGTTTCAGACAGAAAAAAATCACATTTATAAACATAAGTTTAATCTTTGGCGAAATATAAATGTCATCATTTCTGTCATTTTAGGCGAGAAAGTAAAACAAACGAGAAGCTCAAATCATTAGCAATTAACTAACTTTAGTCTGGTTGATCAAATAAAAGCTTCAGTGGGTTCATTTGAACCCCAGACAACAGGATGATGAATGACTGGTTTGAGTTTTGTTAGCTAGCTAATGCTAGCGCGTTAAACCGTGCCGTAGAGATTAGGCGACATGCGCAGCCTGAAATAATGGTCGTGTCATATTCAGTCAAGGAAAAAACAACACCAAACTCTAAACCGCTGGCATAAAATCAAGAGCTTAAATTTCCTCGCCTGGAATAAAAATGAATTGCTAGCTTTGGCTAACACCGGGAGTGACTCAGGGAATAGCTCAGTTACACAAACATAAAAATGAGCCCTTCCGTAGACCACAAACAACTCCAAATGTTTCATTTTTCTTATAAAAACTTTGTTAAAACTAATTTAGCAACACTTTCTTTTGTTGTTTGCTTATATTTACTTCAAATTCCTTACCAAACCATAGTACTTTCAAGCACCATCTTGATCGTTTACGTCCAGGTCAGCGTGATGGATTATGGGACATGAAGTTATGTTCTTCATCTTGTTTCATGGCAGGTGGAAAAGCAACGTTATGGTGCATTACCGCCACTAGCTGGTCTGGAGAAGATATCACGGGGAATGTTTCCTTATGTGTTTTTACTAGTATTACCAGTACATTTCTATTGTTCTCAGTTTTTTCTTCATTTGTAATCATTTTACTAAATCATATCAAACATTTGTTAATGGATTGTTGGACAGATACATCTTTGGCTGATTTGTCAATTAAAGAGCAAGTCACCCCCTACCAGAGTATTACTCTGCTCCCACTTCCTGGTTGAAAAATGCAACAAATGCTGTTGCCTAGCAGACCAAGAGGGCAGAGCCGCTAACAAATACACACACACACACACACGCTGTGTCTCAATACAGGGTCTGCATCCTTCGAAGGACCCAGCCTACTCAGCCGACGTGGGCTGGGTCCTCCGTCGGCCCAGTAGGCCGGATGTTAACGGCTGTGATTTTGGACAGGCCTAGCCTTCATGAATTCCTGCCACTCCCTCAGCGAACTTTCCGTCGCCTAGCAACCGTGGAACCGCTGAGCAGAAGGGAGAAGGAACTTTAAACGATGGAGCTCGAAGTTTTATTTACCTTTTTAATCATTTCCTTGATTGTTGGAGAGCTAATTCAGAGAAAATACTTTCGACAAGCTGAGCCTGAGCAAAGATGTGATCATAGTTTTTAATCCTTTCTAAGGGTCTTCATTTGACCAAAACCGATTTATCACCTTTTAAGACTTTTCAGACCCAGCGGATACCCTCTAGTAAACAATTCTCATTTGTAAACAAAAATAAAATTCAAGAGTTTAATACAGAGCTGATTTTATTTAGATTTCTTTTATATATACATGTTTAATCTTTCTTAACCATTTTTTCTAGTAAGCCTTTCAAAGTTCTCCCTTCTCTCCTGGGCCCTCTGCTGCTCTGCCTCCCTCTGCAGCCTCAAGTCCTCCCTGATCAGCTCCAGAAGCTGGTCATCGCTGTCACCTTCTCCTGGATGCCCATTTGCTCCAGAATAGTCTTAACAAACATGTAAGAAAAAAACAGGAAGAGAAAAGAGGACAACGGGTTATTCCTTTCATGTTTTCGCAGAAAAAACTAAACTTAAAATATGAGATGTTATTGTACCTCCATGCCACAGCCGCCGAATACTTTGATCCAGTGATCATGTGGTCCATCTCTGCCCTAAGCTTAATAAATTCCCTGGTTTTCTCTTGTCCCTAAAATACAAACTTCTATTAAAATCAGGGGGAAAACGTAGCGGGAGAAGTACGACACCGAGCGGCTGAACATACGAGCCGAGACCGCGATACAAGTACTTTTACTGTAACATTTCTAACTAAAATAACGTTCATGTGTCACAAAAAGCCCTTAACCTAACAGTTTTCAAGTTTATACTGACATTTTTATGCGCAATCCTCTCAGACAGCTCCCGTTTCACTGTCCGCCATTGTTTTTAAAAGTTCTGCCGTCCGGCCCGCAAGGCATCTTGGGAAATGTAAACCACTGAAGGATACACCGGACCCATCCTGCTTGCAGGCGAAAAGAAGGCCGGATTCGTCGACCGCATTTGAAGGAGTCTTCGAACTGGGACAGGCCTAGTCGCGGCGCTGTGACGTAACCGGCCCACGAAGGATGCAGACCCTGAAATGAGACACAGCCACACACAAGCTCACAACAACATTGTGACATCATATGGTACCAGCAAACATTCTAGGGTACCACTTAGCCAATAGCTACAGCAGATTAAAATTCAAATGCAGTGCAGAGTTTTTACCTGACAATGGTGTTGGGTTATTTATTTATTAAAACCAGTTCACCTTAAGAGAAATCAAACGCACAAAGAGGATTAGAGCAATATTATTGTTCAATTTTACTTTGCAAAGTGGAGAGATGAAATGATACACACCCGAGCATGGTTCACCAGACCTCTCATCGAACCATCGTCCTCCGAGAGTATTTATTAACCAAGCACACACACACAGAGCATATCACACCACATTCCCAAACCGCTCCGTAAGACCAGATGGTAAGCCGTTTCACGTAAGGAGTGAAAACACTACCGTCTCTTCACCCACACAAACCCAGGTGCCTTCAGTCAACATGCAATTTCTCACGGGAGTGGAACCATAACACACAGGACAGCATGATCTGAGGAAGGTCGTTCTCCTCCCTGTTGAGACGGGAAAGCTAGAAAAAAGATAACACTCGCATTGTAATGAAGCAACAGGCGTTTTCACTTGAAAAGGAGGCAGTTATGTTTCTAAGCAGTAATGACAACGAAATCCACTTTTTCCCTAACAAACAGCACAACACTGATGGTTTTAGGCAGGAAATTTAAATTTTAACTAAAATGCACCAAAGTGCAAAACTATTGACTACACGTCTGCAGCACGGTTAGACACACATTTATATAATTTATCAGAAAAATAAGTTGATTCGGGGGTGACTTGCTCTTTAAGAAACAGCCTCATAAAAATGGAAAATGGTTCATGCATAATTAACCTGTTTTCCAAATCCTTTTATCTGTGAACAAAACAATTACAAATGATAAGTTGCTCTTGATTTTTAAAGAAAAGCATCAACCATTAGAAAAACTTCAATTAGTCCATCTGTGCTAAAAAACAAAGCGATTAAAACTCATTCATGCTTAGACAAAATCAGACCAAAACAAAGTTTTAGAAAGTACGTTTAATCCTTTAAAATCAGACAAGAGAACATCACCACATACTGTAACTTAACATGGCAGGAGGAACAGGAAGTTCATGTTGTATGAGAAGGCATTTCCGTGACTCCTATGTACATATACACATTTTATACACTGTAAAAATATAGTCATTGAAGCATATAGAACAGCCAGCAACACCGGCTCACCCGCCATGTGAAACCTTCATGTAGAAAAAAGAACAGATTAACCATCCTAAAGCATCTCGGAGAGAATATAGCTAACATACCACAATCTAAACGTTTAATATAAAAGGTGAAGTTGTCCAATCGTCCCTCTTTAGAGACAATATGAGCTAAAAAAGTGTCAGACACCCTTCTGTCAGTTTACAATCCTCTAAGGTAAATTACAATCTACAGCAATCAGTCAGATTAATAAATATACTTCAGGGCTGAAAGACGGCAGGTCGTGGGTCGTATTGCATTACTTTGTTTTACCGTAGTGTCCGCGACCGCCTGCACCATAAAGCACCAACGGGTGCCAAACAAACTGTTCTGTTTCCAGCAAACAACCACTGCTTTCCATTAGAAAATACAAATAATAGTAATAAAATAAATAAAACCTACATGCCACAAACCTCTAATCAGACTGCTGGAGCGTCTTCTCCACCCTCAGCCAATGAAATCACATTTACACCAGCACAACATGAAGGTGGTGAACAGCAGGTCCTCGGTGCTACCACATCCGTAGCACGTAGACGTTTAACGGGAACGAGTCTTATTTTGAAATGTTTCAGACTGCGAAGTAAACCAGCCGATGAGCAAAAACAACGACTAACATGCAGCCCATCAGAAATGAAACTGAACGTAACCGATCACCCGTGTTCCGGTGAAGACGTCGCGTCTCTCCTCTCTTTGGTGCCATAACTTGTTTTAGAGTTGCAAACAATCCCAAATCCTCTCCTCTGTGCATCTAACACCCCCCCCCCCACACACACACACACACACGCTGCTGCATCGACCACATGTGCTCAACATCAGGAGTAATGGTAAAAAATGAGATGATGTCCAGTTTTGCTGCAGTTACCAGGAAGAGAATGTTGTTTTCAAGCTACCACCGTAGCTTCGTTGCCCCACGTTGATCTTTATGGGCATGAATACTGAAGTAGGGTTGGGGTTGGTCAAGTCAAACACGGGGTTAGTAATCTTGGTCCAGGACTCCATGTTGGTAGAGGCCCGTTTCTGCATCCAGCAGTACGGAATCAGACGTCTGAACTATGATGCCAGGAGGGTAAAAACGTGCAGAAGTGGCGTATCAAGCGTTTGCATTGAAATGGGAAACAAAGCGGCTGTTTTATGACTTCAGCTGTAGTGATAAGGCAGGTGTCAGCGTGCAGCTAGAGCACAAACCTTCACAAGTGTCAGGTATACGCAGCAAGTACGACTAAAGGCACACACACACACGACGGACCGTAACCCGATGAACTTCCCGGAACTCCTTCCTCCTTCAGCACACGTGGCCACATCGCAGGCGGGGGTCGGTCGCAGGGGTGTTTGAACGTGGTCTGCCGCTTGAATAAGACACATTTTATATAAGAAGACATTAAATACATTCAGAAAAAACAAGCGGCGAGCTCTACGTAGCACCACTTCTACAAGAATAACTTAAACCTAAAGTAATCCACCAGGTTCTGTTCTGTCCACCGACCCGAACTCAAACACATACTGTATATTTACAATGACAAGAGGAAAAATGCATATTTGATTGCAAAGTCGACAGCAGCAGGTGATGATTGACTTCTGTGGACACAGACCACGTCTGTTCATGGACAGGACTGTCCCTACGACTGGGCTTCGTTCGTTTTTAACAACATACAGCCCAATATGTCCTCCCAGCAGACAGACACGAGAGGAAGTCGGTGTTCGGTGAGCGTGGCGCTGCAGCAGCTAAAACGGAGCTCCCCTTCGGGGCCGGAAGTCTCACTGGACGGTTGTGGACAAACATTAGGACACGGTGACGGCCGTGGAACGCCTGAAGCCAACCACATCCTCTCTTTTCTTCTCCTCGCTGTCGCAAGTTTACGCTGCAGTGATGAGAAGACAACACGGTGCGATGAAGAGCTTTGCCTCGGACAGATGACTTTCACTCATGCCGTCCGCTTCGTCACGTCCAGAGGGGCCTCGTCTCCTCTCCTCCAGCGGGGAGTTCTTTCTCCGCTGTGAAACGTAGATCACCATCAGTGACACGTCTGTTCACCAGTCCTGACTATAAACACTGACTCAGACTTACAGATTAGAGATTAGTCTCTGGGATGATGTCGGTTAGGGAAATGACGTCTTCGTTTCCAGACACGTTTCCTGAATTATCAGCTTCGTCTCCAAAACTGGTACGAAGAAAAGGTAGTTAATGACTTCTACACCCTTAAGAGAAACATCTAGAGTGAGCCGGAGAGAATGTGTCTGCAGAAACCAGCAGGAAGCTGGGCTGACGTTCCTGAGGTCCAGCGACCAAAGTGGAGCACCAGACCAGAGACAGATCATCTGCTGCTGTGGCCCTCCAGACTCTGGACCTCTCCCCCCCGAGCCGGAGAGCCGCTGAAGACTCACCTGTTGAGGCTTGGTTGTGTCCTTTGGTTGACCCTTCATCACTACCTCCTCCTCATGCTGTTTGTCTTTTCCCAGATCCACTGACTGCCTCTTTCTTATCCGTTTTCCCTTTCCTAACATTTTTATGGTATTTGTTAATAATTAGATTTGTGTTCTTGTGATCTTCTGCTTTGATCTTAAAGGAGGTGTAAACTGTGTTTTACTGGAGCTTTTATTGCCATATTGCTGAAAATGCTCTGAACAAACCAACAAAAACAAATAAATGAACGTTTTTGTCAAAACGGATCATTTTAATCGCCTCTGAAATGCATCATACTGGAAAAAACTCATCAGCAGCAGTAGCTCAGGAGGTAGAGTGGGTTGCTTCATGGGTTCGATTCCAGCTCCCAGCAGGGGTATTCTGCTGTTGTGTCCTTGGGCAAGACACTTCACCCAACTTGCCTGTGTTGGTGGTGGTCGGAGGGGCCGACGGCGCCAAAAGGCAGCCTCGCCTCCGCCAGACCGCCCCAGGGCGGCTGTGGCTACATAGTAGCTCACCATCGCTGGCAGTGTGTGTGAAAACGTCTTTGAGTGTCCTAAAAAGCGCCATATAAGTTCTATGTATCATTATTATTATCATTATTATTATTATCATCTAATCAGTGTGAACGTCCCGTCCTTAATGACAGGATTATGAACCCAATCATCAAACTGCTCCACTAACACACTCCTCTCTCTCTCTCTCTCTCTCTCTCTCCCTCTCTCTCTCTCCCTCCCTCTCTCCCTCCCTCTCTCTCTCTCTCTCTCTCCTCTCTCTCTCTCTCTCTCTCTCTCTCCTCTCTCTCTCTCTCTCTCTCTCTCCTCTCTCTCTCTCTCTCCCTCCCTCCC